TACTACTAGATGCTTTCTTATTAACCTTCCCCTTTATATCTAATCGAAGAAGTAGTTTTCTCGCATCCTTTTCTATTTATTTAACGCAAACCGTTTTCTTCTGCCACTTTCAAAACTCGCCCTAACTCTTCACGCTCTTTTCTACATTCTTGCTAGCAATGATCACATCATCCATGTACACTACTGCATCGTCGTTTTTTATCAAATCCCGTAGGACAGCCATTATAAACCTGGTAAAGACTGCTGGAGAATTTGTGATACCGAAAGGAACAAACATGCGCTCGTACTGCGCACTCAGGGTAACATACGAAGTGTACTTTTGAGATTCTGGTGACACAGGAACATGAAAGAATCCATTTGTCAAATCCAGGGTTGTGAAAATCTCTTCACATTGCAGTTTCTGTTGGAAAGTTATCTCTGACTATCTTTTAATTCAATTTGCGGTAGTCGCAGCACAAACGCCTCTTACCATTCTTCTTGTCAACTAAAACAACTGGCGAAGTAAACTCGGACGTACTTGGTTTAATTATACTTTCCTTAAGCCATTTCTCGAGCTGACCATCGATTATCTTTTGATCACAATAGGCCAAACGCCTTGGATGTTGATATACTGGCAATTCATCTGTCAACAAAATCTTCATATAATTCTTCACCAACAACTCTACTTCTGCAGCGACACCCTCAGTTAAATGATCCAATTGCAACCCTAACTCTCGATCTTCCGTGCTTAAGATGCAAATGCTACCAAATTCATTCAATAATTGCATGCAGGACCTCTCTGTTAACTGCACCTGGTCTTGTTAGATGCACTGCACTCTTTTTGAAAACACAGTTGCCTTCTTCGTGAACATCAAGTCGCCATTTTCCAAAATTGTTGTCCCTAAAATTGCATCAAACTTCATATCGTCGTGGAATTCAATCCACATTTCTATGCCGTCGATACTGACTTGCGCTTTGAACTGCCGAAAGTCAGCACCTGACTTTCTCCAATTTCTGCCAAAGCTCTTTGCCTGCCCATCAAACTTACGCCTACGCCAAGTTTTAAAAAAAACACGCCTACGCATTAGGCAATGCTCCGCTCCTGTATCGATAAGCCCTTTGAATTCAACATTCGAGCAAAAAACGGATTTCAGCTCAAGACCGCAAGCAATTGGTTCACGAGCTCTCTCTTCTTCTTCTTCTCTTCTTAGTTTTGACTTGAACCTCTGCTCTGCACTACGCTGCTCGGTGTCCTGGCCGATTACATTTAAAACATTTCTCCTGCACTGGACAATCTCTTTTCATATGTGTCGGATCTACGAACCTGAAGCATTTTCTCACAGAATTAGTTGCCTTTTTTATTGAATTCGATCCCTGCCTTACTGCCCTGAGAAGTGTACTTGTTGTCTGACTTATATGCGCTTCTTGCTTTTTGGTATGCTTCAATCTGCAAATTCAAGTCTTAAATTTCTAGCCTGCTACAACATTGATTTATTTGACCTTGCATTTGGAATTCCTTTTACGAACTACTCAATCTGACTTTCATCCTCCAAACGTATAGGTTTAGCTATCTCCATTAAGGCATATAGATACTCCTGCAAAGATTCTCCGTTATGCTGACGACGTTTTCCCAACCTGCGATGAATCTCGGCTGTAGATATCTGCACTGCAAACTCCTACAACAACGCTGACTTTAAACTTTCCCAGTCATTAATGTCTCTCTGGCTACGCACAAACATTTTTGCTGCTCCACTCAGTAACTGTTTCACATATACAAACTGCTGCAGTGCACTCCACTCTACGGTAGCCGCACAATCTTCTAACTCTTCAATCCACACATCAATATTGGGAACACCTACGCCTGAAAACTGAGAAACAATTCCTTCGACGTCTTTCAAAGTAAACCATGTTCTAGACTGTCCCTGCGCTTCTTGGCCATGTTGTCTACCTGCTCTGTTGCGGTTATTAATGGATGTGGAAGATGTTGACCGAAACTCAGCGGCCTCACCCTCATTTTCTGACTCACCCTCATCTATCAACCCATAATGAGTTAGCAATCGTTGTTGTAGTTCAGCTTTCAATCCGTTTGTATTCAACTGCAGCTCTGAAGCAACTCTGCAGCAACTTCCGTCACAATTCTTCCACTCGCAATGCCAAGATCTCGCTTCTCTCCATTTTACCAATGTAACCTGCAGAAAATTACAGTTAATATGATGACAAAGTGTTTTAACTCTAATTTCTTTTTATCAAATTGTAAACAATAGCTCTGTCTTTGCACTAATGCATCAGACTGTACAAAAAACCTGTAGTAACCCTGTTTCGGGCTGCGTCTCTTGCTGTCTCGCTTCTTTTCGTGTTCACCGCTCTCTGTTACGGTCTTCTTCGTCTTCTGCGTACAGCAATCAGCGACTCTGCTATGCCTCCAATTGGAATCTGCTTTGCCTGCTTGCAAAACCACGTGACTTAGTTTTATCCAACAAAGTTATGCTCGCACGCACTGACGATACTCTGCTGCTCTTCGATGTTAAACTCAATTAGAATCCCCTGGCCGTCCACGTCTGCCTCCAATTCCGTGTTCCAATCCTGGCCAACACGTTTTTTCCCGCACGTTTTTTTCGCTCTCCCTAGTCTCCAGCCTGATCCGCTGCTCCTTAATTATCGCTCTTTACCAGCCTCATCCGTTAAATCTCCATCCGTCGGATACCGCCACGCGTTTTCTTTTTTGCCACTTGCTGCTTCCGTCTTACTCGCCCATATGTGTGTGTCTTTTCGCCTTCTGCTGAAATTCTTTGTCTCTTCTGATGAAATTCTTTTCCGCTTCTTTTGCTGTCTCTGTCACTATCTGACCAATTTTCGCTCCATTTCCAAAACCCTTGAGCAATTTTAAACTTGCAATTTTATCATTCTCCGCACCGCACAATATTTTTTTTAGTTATATTTCCTTTGTGTGATATATACAATTTAAGGTCCAAGTTGCCGAATTGTGAGCAATATGCCAAAAATTAATAAAGTTGTAACACCGACTTTAAATAAGGATATTATTTATTTCACTCAGCTTTAACTGGTATCTTAATTATACAAAAAATTATGCGAAAAACGTGTACGATCTAGATTCTGGCAGCGATTCCTTAACGAAGAGTTACTGCAATCGAGTATTCTTTCTAGTATTTTAAAGAACGGAGCCAGAGACTAGTATGTGAGACCGCTCCTGGTGACTCCGGCCACTCCATCAACACCACCGGATCCCACATTCATTTAACCAGAATGGCTAGATTCTTAATGATCCAATTGCAAACTGCAAGGGTATACAACGACGACGTTAGCCTTCTGTCTTGTTTAGATTTGAAATATCTTATATTATTTAATAAATATAATAAATTTAAATGCTGAAACCGCACAAAACTAAGTTTCATTACATATTTTTATTATATTTATAGTTTGACAGTCACTCCTTTACACTCTCAGCTTTACATTTTTCTGCACGTTTACAGACCGTTTCTATGGTAGCTAGCATATAGTCGTCCGATTTTCATTAAATTGAAATACAAATTCTTAAAAAAATAAAAATAGCTGATATCTCAAGGTAGATGGCAATACGTTTAAAAACAAAGAAGTTATAAATTTATATTAATTTCCCTATCGTTCCTATACCAGCTATAAGATATAGTCGTCTCATTTTTATAAAATTAAAACCGAAATTCTTGACTAATTCAAAATGGCCATACCTCAAAAATGATGAAAATATGTTGAAAAACAGACGGATATGGCTAGATCGGCTGTTGATGCTGATCAAGAATATATATACTTTATAATGTCTGAGTCGTATGACCCCTCACTAATTGTACAACAACAACAGCCGCCAACGCTCATGGAGAGCCACAACAACAACAAAGCGTCGCGATAAACAGCGGCCGCAACGTCAACAAAGCGTCGCGACCAACCACCGAGCCAGAGGCAACAACAACAACCAAAACGCTCACGGAGAGCCAACAATAAACAACAGCAGTACAAACGCTAACGGATAGCGACAACAACAACAGCAGCAGCCGAACAACAGCAACATCAGCAGAACAAAACCAAAACAAACCGGCAGCGGTCAAGAGCCGACACAAAACAAAACTCTCGCGAATAACTTTTATAAATTTCTTTATATTTCCTTTAATATGTAAATTAGTAACATGAGTGGCAAAAAATTCGCATTCAAATGCACAAAGCTCAAAATAAGTTGAGTGAATTTGAAGCAAATGCCAAACTGAATTGAATGAGTTGACTCGCTTACGTACGACTCAGCCGCACAAAGAAGAAACGAATGGAATGAAATGAGAACTCAGAAAACTGAGACGCTGAATTCGAATGATTCGAGTTGCAATTGTAAATAACAATACAGTAGCAAATGTTTCAGAAAAAATAGGTTTGATCGACCGTCACGTTTGGCTGTTGCCTAGTCTAAATTGAAACATAAGCAATTGATATGCGTTTTCATGTTTCCATGTTTCTTTGTCTTTGATCCGCGATCTCTGAAAATTCGAATTCGTGCACAACAACTCGAATCATTCGAATGTAACAAGCATTGCCAAATTTGTTGCTTCTTTTTTCGCGTCATTCGTTATCTTTCATTTCGTTCAACGTCCCAAGCTATGAAGCAAAACGAGAACGCATACCTGATACAATGTCGTTTCATTTCTTGCATTCCACTCATTCCATTCTATTTCATTCGAATGTATTCAATGAAGCGTATGTTGTGAGTGGTTTCCTGCAGACGTCTAATGTAAACCTAGCCAATAGCTGTAACATTTATATTTAAGTTTCGTAATAATAATTCATTTTAGCTTAAGCCTAAGCGATAGTCTTTGTTTACCTTTGCCCCTCCGTTCTCACATCACCAGCAGCCACACACACACACATACACCAACGCAGCGGTTGGTACGTGTGTGTAGTCGCCGGGCACGGATGCGCCGCGGCGGTGCTCCCCCGATGAACGCGTGGTGTGGGGGTTGTGGCAGGGCCCCCCACAAAATCGGATGCGGAGCGGCCGCGTGAAGCGGCTGAGATTGCTCACCTGCGACGTCACCCCCGTGGTGTCCATGGATGATCCAGGGAGTCCGATCTTCCAAACCATAGATCTGGGCCAGCGGTGAGAGCGGTGAGAATATTTCCCGAGACAACCTTCATGGTTGTTGTTGCCTCCGCTCGCGAACTTCTCTCTCGTGGCAAATGTGGCTGCCCCCGCAACATATGCCAGTCACGTCAGCTGTGGGCGAGATCAGCTGTGACCGAGTGTTAAGAAGCGTCGAACACTGCACAGGTCTGGCAACACTCCGCTGCCACCAGGTGGCGGTATCGTGCCAGCTGTCGCGCAGACAAAAGCTCCCTGCTACGACGTGCATATGCGATCTGCAAATGCAAAATGTAGCATAGCTTTCAGGGCTGCTGCTCTTGATCCTTGGCAGGAGGTAGCGGAAACGGGTGAAAACCCAAACCCAAGGCTCGCACAGAGGACAAGTAAGGTGGTAAAGGTCATGGAGCAGACCAATAGCCAACCCCACCGCTATACGGTACACCTGTAAACGGGGCTCTGGCGACCGAGCAGTGGAGCCCAAAATAGCGAGCAAGCCGGAGAGCGTCTGCTGCAGATGCTCCCAGATCATACCAGCCGGGAAGCCTGCAGAAAGCAAGGCGCAACAGACGGCGGCAGTGCCGAGGAAAGACCGGGCAGTCCAGACTGACCCGTGGAGAAGGGTCAGCCAGCAAGACGCCAGTGCTAGCGACGCCCCCAGGCGGAGGCGAGCCCCTCCAGCCCAGGCCACAGCCCCCGCAGCGCCGAGGAACGGTGCCAAAAAGGCCCGGCCTGATGCCCCAGTGTTGCCCAGGGTAGCGGAGTGCCGGCATGGGAGTGCAGGTAGGCCACCGGAACCCGAGCCTGTGACTGCCGGGAACTCGTGGAGCACAGTGGTAAGGAAAAAACAAACTCGCAGGACACGCCCAGACGCGGTGGTAGTGGAAGCTCCAGGGAAGAGCTACAGCGAGATCCTGGCCCTGGTCACGAGAAGGGAGGACAGGCAGCTGACCGATCTCGGAGGGGCTGTCACCAAGGTCCGTCGGACGGCTAGGGGGAATTTACTCCTCGAGGTAGCCAGAGGGAGCACAGAGAGCGCCGAGTCCATGAGGGACAGCATCTCCAGGGTCCTGGGCGACACTGCGGAAGTACGAGCATTAACGGAGGAGTCGAAGGTCTGCGTCTTCGAGATACGCAACCTCGACGCGATCACGACGGAGAAGGAGATCCGTACCGCCCTCGCGGAGCAATACCAGCTCAGCGACGGAGCAGTGAGGATACGAAGCCTCCGCCCCGGGTACGGGGATTTCAAAACGGCGGTCTTCAGCCTGCCATGCTCGATGGCGAAGGAGGTCAGGCGGCGCGGCAAAGTCCGCATAGGCTGGACCATTTGTAGAGTGCGGGAGCGCGAGGGCCCTCCCCGCTGCTTCAGATGCCTGGAGCTTGGCCACATCGCCATTAGGTGTAAGAGCCTGGTGGATAAGAGCGGCTGCTGCATCAAGTGCGGCGAAGCAGGCTACAAGGCAGTGGCCTGCAAGAAGGAGCCAGTGATCCTTCCAGCGAGCTCCGGAGAGGCCGACGTTCAACCCGGCAGCAAAAGCCGTCAGGCCGGAAAAGTCGGTACTGACACTTCAAGGACCGTATGCAGTTGATTCAGCTCAACCTGAACCACTGCAGAGCGGCGCAGGACCTGCTTACGCAGACAGTGCGCGAGGTAGCGGCGGATGTGGCCATACTCAGCGAGCCATACAGGGTGAGCGTGGGAGGAGAGTGGACCAAGGTCCGCTCTGGCAAGGCGGCTCTTTGGCTCTGCGGAGGCAGGCGACTACGGATGTCCAATATCCTGGCTGCGGACGGATTCGTGCGGGCGGAAGTTGGCGGCTACTGCGTCTATAGCTGCTACTTGGCGCCTAGTCTCCCACTAGAGGTGTTCAGTAGGATCCTGGATGACCTAAGCTCTGACCTTCGTGGGAGGCCCAAAGTTATAGTCGGAGGAGACTTCAACGCCTGGGCCCAGGAATGGGGATCCGTCTCGACCAACGCCAGAGGACGCTCGGTGCTCGAGGCGTTTGCATCGACAGACCTCTTCCTCCTTAACGACGGTGAGCGGCATACGTTCGTCAGAGCAGGAGCAGCCTCCATCATCGACCTTACGTATGTGAGCGGAGCAATTTCCCAAACCGCTAGATGGGGAATTTGCGACGCATACACCGGGAGCGACCATGAGGCTATCATATGCTCAGTGGGAGGTCCCGCGGAAGATACCCGTGCAGCACCGCGGCCCAGCAAAGCCTACCGGCCATATACGCTGTGCACGCAGGCGTTCACAAACGCGCTGGACGGCATGGCGGCCGAAGTGACGGGTGGAGCCAACGAAATTGCGAACCGCATCGCAGCAACCCTGGAGCACGCCTGCGACCAGAGTATGCGCCAGAGAGGCTCGTTTTGAGGAAACCACAGACCAGTGTTCTGGTGGAGCGACGCGATCACCGACCTCAGGGCCACCTGCCTTCGAGCCCGTAGGCAGCTGACTCGTGCACGCGGAACCTCACGAGTCGCTGAGCGTAGCGAGGTCTACAGGACGGCGAGAAAGGCCCTCAAGACGGCCATAAGGGACGCCAAGAGGAACCGTTTCCTGCAACTCTGCGACGAGGCGGAGGACGACCCCTGGGGCGGAGCGTACAGGATGGTGGTCAAAGGGCTGAGAGCCGGCAGCACTGCTCCATCGGACCCCGTAGCCCTAGAAGGCATAGTACGAAAGAACGAGAGCAAAGGAGTACCGAAACTTCGAGAAGCGAAAAACGGAGTTGCAGAACTTGCAAAAGCGCGTGACATTTTTTTTCACTCTTGCGGACGTGGCGAACTTGATCAGAAGTGCGAGCGGAGTTTTACATTGTTCTGGAAGCGACCGATTTTGTACGAGGAGTTTGTGAATTGAGAAGTGATTGAAAGTGACAATCGAGTGATCGACGAGGAGTACTGTGAGCCAAAGAACCACCAAGTGGGACTCGCTGCAGCCAATGGCGCAGAGACAACCGCAGAGACAACCGCAGCGCAGAGACAACCGGGAGGCCAACAGCGGCGAAGACCGACGGGAGCCTATTCTAGCCACCTGTTGACGATTTGGACGGAGATCAACCAGGAGATCTCGAGGAGAGTGTGCCGGCCCAGGACCAGCAGCGGAGCACCCAGATTCCCGCGTGTGTGTGTGCGTGAGAGCGAGACGGGTGAGTGTGTAGAGTGAACCGCATTTTGGTCAGCGAGAGATACGTACAATGAGAAATTTCTCGAAGGCTTCGATGCGGCGTCACCCAGAGTAGGCTCGAATTGAATAATATAACCATGACCTAACCTAACCCGTGCAAGGGTGCACACTGACAGAAAGTATAAACAAATAAATAAAATGAACAAAACCCAAAATTAAACAAAAGCAGAATTAAATAAAGATTTTCTCACATATCTGCACACAAATTTGCCGCCGCCATGTGGATTTTCTTTGACTTCTTTGATTTTCCGCCGAGCCTGACCACACTGAGAGAAAAGGGTGGACCAAATTTTAGGAAACTTGTTGCAAGTTAGAAAAAAAATATAAATATTTTCTCACATAAAATAAAATTCCCAAATAAGTGCTGGAAATATTTTTAAGGGAAAGTCTCAGATCTTTTCTGCCACTGCCAGCCGTATTAAGCAAACTCGAGCCTGGCTACACAGAGAAACCAAAGTCGAACTCGGCTTCAAAAAAATTAAATATTTTTTTTATAAAACCACAGATATTCGCTGCCACTTCTAGGAAGTTCGAACCTGCCTACACTGTGAGAAATTAATCACGTTCGGTCCCAAATGAAGGAAATAAATAAATAAAAATGCTGAAATAAATGTTTCTCGACTGTTTCAATGCCATTTATAGAAAAAGGATACATCAAAAGCTGGCCTCGCATTTGATTAGGGCCAGGCTTAGCCGGCCGAATATTGCCAAAACGGCAGCGAGTGCTGACGGAGTCACATCTTATCTGGCGGATGCCTAGATTTTAGCCCGAAGATTTTACCTTAGAGAAAGGTGTCCCCATAATCGATACCTTCTCTCGGTCTCCTCGTGGCGAGTTCCATGAGCCAGACCCAATACGCGTTACCGCTGACCATTTTCGCCCTTCTGCAGACACCGAATAAATTTTTTCTCTCACTCAGTATCCCGGTGGCTGACACTCTACTTCTCATGTCAGCCAACCGATTTTCGTCAAAGACCTTTTTGTCCCAGATCTTTATAAATATTTTCTGTAGGGGTCTCTGGGTCTCTGGCGTGACTGAGTTTTATCCCTGGAAGGGTATAAACATCGACAATTCTTCGCATTACCCTACCTTAACTCAAAGTCTACTCATAAACCTCCACTTAAAAATTAAAATTCTCTGGATTCCAAGACAAGCCTAGCATTTAATCCTTTCCATATCCACTTTTCGAAAGGAAACCTGACCCCTTCTCTTTCCAATCCTTCAACCACCAACATCCATTACATTTTAGATTTTCCTAAAAAAATAAATAATGATCTGTCTGTTCGCCGCGAAACTTACACATCTTTTTGTATTTATTTCGATTAATTATTTTTATCAAATTATGGTTACCTGTTGTATCTCCAACGGCCGAATAATTTCTTCGCGGCAGACCATCGCTTACTGTTGGCTCTTCGAAAATATCGCTCACCCTGGATGTGCCGATCTGGGGCACATTGGACCGCGTTACGCCGATCGCATTCAAAATAATGCCGGATTGGACTGGTCGTGCCCGAGCTGCCTGCATATCGAACCCGATATGAGGGGTTTTTATCTGTTCCAGATCCTGCAAGCCCCCTTATGCAGTTCAACCGACGTGTCAAGTCCGTAGCCGTGGATAATGGCTCCGGTGAAGATGCTGCATCGCACAGTAGCGCCTCTCGAACAATTAGCGTTGCAAAAATCAAAAAAGTCATGTTCGCAAAAACGATTTTAGCCATACTTATTCGACAGGAAATTTAACAAGGATTCAGAATCTGCAATAAAATCAATTTTAAGTTTTTTTTTGTAGAAGTTATGAGCATTTAAAGTTGAACTTTGTTTCGTTTTTTGCATCATACAAAAAAAAATTTGTAAATTGGTCGACTTTCAGGTAATATTACAAAAAAACCATAAAACCAATGGTCATGGTTTTTACTTTAAATGATAGATACATTCATAAACTATTAAAGAACCTAAAAAAAAACGACACTTTGGTTTGGGCTTCTACAGGTAAATCGCTACCTGCCAGGTGTCCATTTTTTTCACCTTTTTCTGCCTAAAGTAGTCTATATCTTTTGACGCCAATGCCGGCCACTGACTACACTATGACTACAAGTTCCGTGGATCTTTCCTGGATCAGAATTAACTTTCATCGGCTGCGTCGAGCTGCGTCTGCGGAAATGCAACGCAAAAAACCAAAACAACTCAGGGTAAAATATACCAAAATACCGACACAATTTCATACATTTCCAGAAATATACTAACTGTAGCGCGTGGCGGTTACACTTCGAATTAAAAAAAATTTTTTTTTCAGTTTTCAAATTATTTTTATTTGAGCAAATACATAAAAATAAACATAAAAAATTAAATAAAAATTTTTGTTTAAAAATTGTTTTCATTGAAAAAAAATTATTTTTTCACTTTGATACCCTTTAAAAAGGCGTATTTGTGGGCGTGGTACTTTATGCAGTACATATATATATTTTACAACAATTACCTGTCCAATGCCGTTTAAATTATTCGATTACCTTATTTGGTTCAAAAGATATGATTTTTGCAACGCTAAATGAGAAAAGGCGCTACTGTGCGACTCTTCAAAATTCGGATTTGGAGCCGTGTTACTTCAGAAAGGCAGAGAAGATAGTTTGTGGCACCCAATTTTCTACATGAGTCGGAAGACCAAACCTTGCGAAGAGAAGTATCATTCTTATGAACTTTAAGTTCATGCAGTTATTGGAGCCTTGATAAAGTGGCGAGTTTACGTTCTTGGAAAAAAATTCAAAATAGTCACAGACTGCAACGCTTTTGGTTCTTTATCAAAGGGTATGAAGATTTCTATATATCCAACGGATTTTTATTCAAGGGTGAGAATAAGGAGTTGCTAGTTGTAACATCCCTTATGGAAGCTAAGATAATTCGAAATGCACATAAGCAAGGTCACTTGAGGTAATGGACAGGTAGAGCGCATGCACAAAATAGTGGTTCCAATGTTATCTAAACTGAGTGAGGAGAGTTCAGGAAGCTGGTAAAAGCAGGTTGGCAAGGTACAACAGACGATTAATAACACTGAGCCCAGGAGTACAAAAGTTTCTCCCTTTAACATTCTAACAGGCCTCCATATGCGTGTTTCCAGTAACTTAGAGTTAAAGGAATTGATTCAAAAATGTTTAATATCAGAGCTAAATGACGAAAGACATAAGTTGCGAGTAAAAGCAAGACAGAATATTCAGGATGTTCAAACAGAAAACAAAAAGGTAGAAAGCAAGTTTGCAGTAAATGATTTAGTAGCTATTAAACGTACCTGGTATGGGCGTTATGAAGTTGAAAGAGTCGGACAAGGAGAAGGGCCATATAGAACCGAGACAGGTGTTATATGAAACCATTCGGGTCGAATCAAACGTCAGGAAGGCCGAATGTGGGATCCGGTAGTGTTGGTTGAGTGGCCAGAGTCACCAGGAGCGGCCTCAAATACTAGTCTCTGGCTCCCTTCTTTACAATACTAGAAAGAATACTCGATTGCAGTGTCAAGCTCTGGCAACTCTTCGTTAAGGAGTCACCACCAGAATCTCGCCTCGATCGTACACGGTTTTCGAATTAGCACCAATTTATGTATGTTTTTGGAAATTTAAGTAGCGAGTCAAAGTCGAGTGAAATAAACAATATCCTTATTTAAAGTCGGTGTTACAACTTTATTAAAAGAGGACACTGCATTAATATAAATAAATGAAGGGAAATATATAAAGGTTGTATACTAATTTGGTTTTGATATTTATATTATAAATTTAAATGCTGAAAACTCACACAAAAACAAGTTTCATTACATTTTACCTATACCATTTTACCCATACTTTATGTTTAGAGTTTGACAGTTACAGTTTTACATTCCAAGGTTTACATTTTCTCTACTTCTACCGATTGTTTTTTGGCACCTATTTGATATAGTTGTCCGATTTTCATAAAATGTATTCCAAAATTCGGAACTATTTAAAAGAGCTCATATCTCAGAGTAGATAAAAATACGTTGAAGAACAATGGCAGCTATAAAATCCTATTTTCATAAAATTAAAAAAGAAATTCTGAAAGAATAAAAAAAGACCACATCTCAGATATAAATATGTGTTTCTTTCTAAACATTTTTTGATCATTTGTATGGCAGGTATATGATATAGTCGTCCAATCCGGCATATATAGCAGTGAGAGTAATCAGAGGACTATATGCAAAGTTTCATTCAGATAGCTTTAAAACTAAGGGACTGGTTTGCGTAGAAACGGACAGGACAGACAGACAGATGGACACGAACACATCGACTCAACTGTTGATGCTGATCAAGAATATATATACTTTATAGGGTCGTTGCAAACTTCTAACTGAAATTAGTATACCCTGAAAGGGTATAAATATAGTTGTTTTTTTATACGATTAAACTTTCTATTGAGTTACTGAGCTTTTTCAATAGCTGTTAAAACCATCCAATTTCTTGTGAACCAAAAATACCCACTTATTTTAACTTTAAAAATTAAGTACAATATTTATTAAGTCACTACACTTTCAATTGTTTATCGGCACAGGCGAGCGGAATTGCCGCTGTGGGTATTTATGACCCAAATTGGTCCGAAAGAACTACAAAGAGCTCACATCTCAGAGTAGATGAAAATACGTTGAAGAACAATGGCAGCTATAAAATCCTATTT